AAAGTTACCGACATGCCCAGCAAAGCCATTTATAATGAAATGTAAAATTTGGCTGTTGGAAGCAACCCACGAGCCCCAGCTGAAGCCCCGGCCAGGTTCTGGAGCCCGGGAGAGGAGCGGGGTCGTGAATTATTTGTGAGGTGTTCAGACAAGGACGTATACTATCCATAGCACACCATATAAATATGCTATTAATATACCAAGGTGGCATGCATTATTCATCGGGCCTAATTAATTAATGGGCAGCCCCTTAAAATGGGGTATTGCAGTGTCCAGCTCCCTCTCCTGCCTGGGGCCGAAGGGATGGCGTTGGCATCCACGGACACCCAAGTGAGCCACTGGCTGACCTGACTGTGGCCTTGGGAAGTGGGGGAGGAGGGGACATCCCTTGGACGTTCTGCTGTGAGGCCAGTGTGACCCCCCAACCATCCTTCCTGTGCAGACGGTGAGGGGGCTGGCATCCACTCCAGGGGGCTCTGTTCACTTCTCCCCCTGAGCATCCATCTCTTACAACCATGATCGCTACCGTGGGTTGGGCAGGGAGCTGTGTGCCCACAGGTCAGCCCTGGTGCCATCCTCCCTAAACACCCGGGGATGAGAGGCCCCATCTTACTGTGAAGATGAGGAGGCTCGGAGAAGTGAGGAGCCTTCTGTAGGGTCACAGGGCCAGCCAGTGTCTGAGCGGGCATTCCTACTCAGGCTGCTGGTCTGACTTCTAGCTGTGCCTTTGTGCCAGCCAGGGCTCCCAGTTCTATTCCACGGGACTCACATCTTGTGAGACGCACCTGCAGCGGAGGTTCTTCAGGGAAGTCGGTTTGGGAACTGCTGTGCAGTGCAGCCATTCCCTTGGGAGTCACAGAACACATCAGGAGATGGAGGCTCTGAGAAGTCCCACAGGAAAGGCTGCACGGGCCAGGGCACCTCTCTTTGTTTTTTCTCTTGCCCCCCAATTCCCTCCCTCCTGGTTCCTCCCTCTGCCTCAGAGGCTCAAGGCACTGCCAGGTCTGCTGCGTTTGGGCGAGCAACCCCGATTCTCTTCAGACTTGGTCCAGCAGCCTCAGTCCAATCAGTTACTGGGGGCTGAATCCACCAGTTGAAAGGTCTACCGACCCCACCCCACCACGCCAAAGTCCCTACCCGGTCCCCACCATGGAGAGCCTCCTGGGGCGCAGTAGCCATGGCGTCCTCCAGGAGGCAAGCTGACGTGCAGCTGGAGCCAGCGTTTTGGATGAAAGTTGGTGATGGCTCTGGCCCTGTCCTTCCCTGGATCCCCAGCCCTGTCCCTGCCAGCCCGAAGGGCTGAGGCCTCCCCTTCCTCCCAGGGAGGGCCCCTCCATCATTACCAAGAGGTCAGACACGTGCTGGAGGCAGGAGGTGGGGAAATTGAGAACGTCCGGCCTGGAAGTCCTGTCCCAGCCCAGGTGGCCACTCAGCAGGCAATAGCCTGAGCTGACCCAGGCTCCTTGGGCCCACCTGCCCCCCTGCCCCCCTGCTGGGCTGGGCGGGTGGGCCCCCCTGTCTCTTGGAACTTGTTTCTCCGGCTGCAAAACAGGTAGGGTCAACCCACTTTTAAAGGGTGGCTGTAAGGACTAACCGAGAAAATGGGCGTGAGAATTGATAGAAGAGGCTGGAGTAGGGCCCTGGTGGGGCCTGGCCCCTCCTCTCTGCTCCTCTGCTGCGGCTGCACTAGCCTCTCACTCCTGTCTGTGCCGTCGTTCCCCTGCGGGGCCTCTGTCTGTGCCACGCCCTCTGCTGGGGAGATCCTTCCCTTTCCTCTGATGAGTTAATCCCCATTCTCCCTTCAGATCTCAGTGCTCATGTCCCCTCCCCAGGGACGCTATCTCCGGCCTTTTGCACCAAGACAGGGGTCCCTCTTTTACCATCGAGTGGCACTGAGTCCCCTTGGAGGGCTGTCACAGGTGCAATTTTGCATCTGTGTGTGTGTACCAGCCAGGGTGAGACACTAGCTAGCTGCTGTAACAAACAAACCCAAAGTTCCAGCAAGCGAACCCAGCTCACATTTATTTCTCGCTCACCCACAGGCCAGGACAGCTGTTCCTGGTCAGCAGTGACCACCTGCCTGACCCTGCAGTGTCCAAGCTCCTCCATCTGTAGCCCCATCATCTGGTAGGTCCTTTGCACCCAGCCAGCAGACTAGGGAAGATGGAGAGTCTGGAGGTGCACACATCACCTCCATCAGCCAGAACTCAGTCACACGGCCCCCAAGGGAGGCTGCAAGGGAGGCGGGAAAACTTGGTCAAGGCAGAGAAAACAGTGAGTGTAAAGGCCCTGAGGCAGAAACATAAGCATGTCCGAGGGGCAGTTGTAGGAGGGAGGTAGGAGAGGTAAGGAGTGTGGGGAGGGTTGGACGGCCCATTATAAGGACTGTGCTTTCCTCCTGAGGGTGATGGGCCCAGAGGAGGGGTGTGAGCAGGGGGTGGCAGGTTGTCACTCCCGCTGTTAAAGATTTTGTGTTGAGAACAGAGTGGGTGGCAAGGCAGAAGCAGAGGCACGGTTAGAAGGGTCCTGTGGAGATCCAGGCTCACCCCTGGTGGTGGCTGTGGAGGTGGCCAGTGGTCAGTTTCCTGTGGGACTGGATGTGGGCAGTGAGAGGACAGGAGGCTTTTGGCCTGAGCAACTGGCCAGGTGGAGTCCCCATCAGCAACTGTGTGGCCGGCTGCGGGTGGGGCTGGTTTGGGGTCGTGGAGGACGCAGGGGACCAGCGGGGCGGGGACTCTGAGGCCAGAAGGGGCAGGGCAGGCAGGGAGGGTGAGGCCAGGGTGTGGCAGGTGCAATAAGGGCTGGGAGGTGTGATAAGGAGCCTGGACTTTATTCAGAGTGCAAAGCAGGGAAGGGCTGGACCAATTGGCTTTCTAGAAAGATCCCTCAGCTGCTGGGGAGGGGTAGACCATAGTGGCCGGAGTGCAGGAGGGAGCCTAAGGGGACTGGCACAGCGGTCAGGGGCGAGGTGATGGTTGCCTGGACGGGAGGGTGGCAGTGGGGAGAAGTGGGTGGACTGGGTGTGTCCTGGCTTGGGGGTCCCTGGAGAGGATCCGAGCTGACAGAAGGACATGCTGTGCGTGAGGTGCTAGGGGGGACACCACCATACGTGCTGTGCTGCCTCCCAAGTCACTGTCCCCAGAGGAGGCCGCATGGTGACCGGTGGGCAAGAGTGCAGCTTAAACTCCTAAGCATCAGAGATCCAGCCACCTCCCACTTCCTTCCCAGGGAGGTGGGTCTCCAGCCCTGTCCACCCTCGTCCACTCTCTTCCCCCACCACCACTTCTTGGCCTTTCCCTTCCTCACCGGCTTTTCCAGTTCTCCTAACTGCTGCCCTGGGGGTCAAGAAAGCCCGGTTGGTTCCTGGTTCCGGGACTAGCCACCAGCCTGGCTGAACTGGAATGACATCACCCTTTGTCCTCTGGCTGGGAACCCCCAGCAGATCAGGGCAGCAGCCGTGGCCAGCGGTCATCCCAGGTCAAAGGGAATCCCTGTCTAGCACCTGTTTGCACGCGCCCTGCGACGGGGAGCTCACCACCTCCGCACAGGCCTCACTCACTCTTGGGTAGCTGGGCATCCACACCTCAGGATCCAGCCACAGGAAACAGCTGGAATGCCACGTGCTGGCTCTGGGCTGGAAGACTTTAGTTTCTGCTCCTTCAAATGGGTGCAGAGAAGCTGCCCTGTCTCCCTGCCAGGGGCCGTTCTTGGGAAAACACCTTCCCTCCTTCCCTAGGGCCTTGTCTGGACAAGCCCTGGGGCCAGGTGGCCAGGCAGGGGGACCATCTCACATTTCTGGTGTCAGTGTCTCTGTCCAGGTGGCCACAGATAGAGTTCCACAAGAAGAATGTGGAGGGGACCAGCCCTGGGATAACTGAGGGCCCCACAAGAGGTACTTTTCCTTAATGATTTGTGTCACAGATGCTCAAAGAGGAAAACCGGGAAACAGAACAGATCACCAAGACCACTGAGGGGTCTCCTGCCCCAGGAGGACCCTTCCCTCCCTTCCCCATCCTATGGGCCACACCAGGCAGGGCAGTGCAGCGCCCAGCCTCAGTTGTCCCTTCTGTAAATCGGGGAGTGAGCCCTGCCTTGCCTGCCACTCCTCCAGCATGAGAACCCCGATGGGAAAGTCCTCTGAAAACCCAGAAATGCCAGGGGTGTTCCTGCCGTGCTGGGGGTTGGGGGAGCCTCCAGAGAGGCCACGGCTGCCCAGGGCCACAGGCAGGCCGGGGTCTATCTCCACCATTTCTTAGCTACGTGACCCCGAGCAAGCCTCAGTTTCCCCGTGTGTAAAGTAGCGTTGTCTTCCACCTCTCCATGACGGGGGTGGGGGGGTGGGGGGAATGCGGGTGAGGGACGTTGAAAACAGACAATGCCAAAGCCTCCCGAGAGCAGTGGAGGGGGGGACCCCAGGCTGGGCGCCGCCCCTTCCCCTGCCTCGGGGCTGCGAGGGGAGGGAGGTGGGGAAGGGCGGGGCCTTGGCGGATGGGCGCGGCTTCACGGAGCTCAGCCTGGCCTGGGGCGGGGCTGTGATCTGTCCGAGGACGGGGTCTGTTTGGGGGCGGGGCCTGGGCCAAGGGCTCTGTCCAGGGACGGGGCCTGGAGTGGGTGGGGCTTGCGGGGCGGGGCCGTGGCCCGGGGCGGGGAGGCCTGGCGGGGCGGGGGCGGGTCCTTTTCGGGGGAGGAGCCTGGAGGGGAGGAGGCGGGCTCTGTTTTGAGGCGAGCCACGGTCTGGCCGCAGCGGAGTCTGTTTGGGGACAGGGCCTGGAGCGGGCAGGGCCGTGGGTGGTCCGGCCGGGCCACGGTCTGGCGGGGTCTGGCTCTGCCTGGGGGCGGGGCCTGGCTGTAGCGAGTTCTGCCCAGGGGCGGGGCCTGGCTGCGCGGGCTCTGCCTGGGGGCGGGGCTCTGTCCGGGGGCGTGGCCTAGAGGGGGCGGGGCCTGGCGGGCGGACTCGGGCCGGCTCTCGCCGGCTGCGCGGCAGCTGCTGCTCGTCTTCCACGGGGCGCTGCCGCCGGGCGTCGGTCCCCTTGTCCTCCCGGGCTCGGGCTGGGTTCGCCCGCCGGGATCGGCGGGTCTGCGGTCCGCGCGAGCGTCCGTCCAGGGCGTCCGGGCCGCGGCTCGGGGAAGAGCGGTGGGAGCGCGGTGCGCCGGGCGCCGCTGCCCGCATGGCGGCCATCCAGGCGCTGCAGCAGTGGTGCCGGCAACAGTGTGAGGGCTACCGGGACGTGAGCATCACCAACATGACCACGTCGTTCCGCGACGGCCTGGCCTTCTGCGCTATCCTGCACCGCCACCGGCCCGACCTCATGTGAGTGCCCTCGCCGCTCCCCGACCCCGCGGGGAAACTGAGGCCAGACCGCTCCGGGCCGGGGCAGTGGGCACCGAGTCAGACCTCCGGGACCGCGGCCCTGGGGGGACGACCTTGGGCCGAGCAGAACCGGGTCCGCAGGTGCAACCCATTGTGGCCCCTGCAGGCTACCCCATGGCCTCAGTTTGCCTGTCCACCAAGTGGGGCTGGGCCGGAGCCAGGACGTCCGGCCGCCCCCGCTGGCTTAGTCAGTCCGTGACTCAGGCCAGCGTCCTGGGCTCTGGCCACAGCCACCCATCCCCCTCCGTCTCCCTAGGAAACGGCCGGCAGAGCTGCCCTTCTGGGTCTTCTGCGATCCCCACTGTCCTGGGACCTGCCCACTGGAGGGGGGGGGGCTTCATGTGTGGTGCTGCGCCTCCCCCAGCTTGTCCAGGCAGCTTTAGGAACGCAGCCCAGGGTCACTATGGGGGAGGGGCCAACACAGAGCAGGAAGCCTGAGACCCCCCAGGTCCTGTCAGCCAGGCCTCCACACCTTAGGGTGATGGGGGATGAGATGGAGGCTGGGCCCCGATCCCTGGGAGCCGTGGAAAGTGGGCAGCGGAGGGGGCTAGGTCATTTATCCCCGTGGAGGGTCTTGGAGTCTTGGCTGGGAGGCTGGCCCTGCCTTGCCGGATCTTGTCCCCACCCTGGACCCGCTCCAGCCGTTGTTCACTCAGCAAACACTCTTTGCTGTGACTGGGACCCGGCTTGCTGGGACAGAGCTCTGTGCAGGGAGGCCCCGGCCCCAAGCCCTGTGTGAACTTGAGATGGGGAAAGCTGCAGGGAAGCGTGCTGGGGCTGGGTGGGCGGAGGCTCAGGAAGGGTGTCCTTGGAGGGCCACCTGTAGCCCAGGTGCCTTCTAGAGAAAGCGTGGTGTTGACAAGCTTTCTCCTGAGAAGTGGCGGCTGGACCTGGGGTCGGTAGGGGTGCGCTTGCTAGGGAGGTCTTGGGGCTGGGAGAGGCCAGAGGGGGCACCTTCTAGATACTGACCAGTCAGGCCTTTTGCTGTACAGACGGGGAAGCTGAGGCCCGGAGAGGAGACACCGTTGTTCAGGTCACAGCACACGTCAGGCACAGCCAGGGCTGGCTCTTGGGGCACCTCCCCTGCACCCAGATGTCCCTTGCATCCTCAGGGACTGTCCCCAAACACCCCTCTGTGCGAGAAAGCTAGCCTTGAGAAAGAGGCCTGCAGGTATTTCCTCTTCCTGCCTGAGGTTGGGAAATGCATGTTTGGGGCTCCGTGGGGAGTCCCCGTGTGGTATCTGGGCAGCAGCTTCTGCTCCCCACACAGGGATGTGCCTCAGTCGCCCTTAGAGGCAGAAGACCGGGGCAGAAGATGCATCCACGTTGAAAGCCGAAGCTGAGCCTTGATGGGGGTGGGCTGGGGATGTGGAAACTGGGAGAGGGACCAGGAGTGGAGGTTGGCAGGCTGAGCCCCATGGGGGTGAATGCGAGGGCCCTGGTAAGGCTGGCTGGGGACCTAGCCCAGGCAGCCTGGGTGGGGTCAGCATAAGTTAGCGATTGGAGGGAAAGATGATGCCGCTGTCTGCCAGTGCAGCAGCCTCAGGACGACGGCACAGGTAGAGCTGAAGATTTGGGGCCTTTCCGAGCCCCCGGAGCTTGCATGTGCTCCCAGCTCTGCTGAGACCAGAGGCCTGGGTGTGTGTGTGCGCCTGTCCCAGCACGCACTGACGCGGTGAGCACAGGCGTGCACATATGGGTGAGTACACGTGCTGGCACAAGCAGGCATCCTATTGCCATTCATGTAACCGTTATTGAGCACCTGCTGTCTACTCAGCACCGCGTACTGTACAAGATGGACTTGGCCCTTGCCTCAGGGAGTGACGTTTTAGTCACAGAGACAGACAGCGCACAGATGAGTGAGTAAAAGCTCAAGGTAGCTCCAGAGGGTGTGAGGGCTGGGACAGGGAGGAAGAGGAGGCTGCCCGCCCACCCGCAGTGACGTGTGAACATCCAGTTATCTTATTTACTGCTGACTCGGTTATCGTCCCGTCCGTCTGCCCACACTGGACCTTCAGCTCCAGAAGGGTGGGGATGTAGCTCTCTGTGTTGTCCACTGCTGGATCCCCAGTGCCTGGAACTGTGCCTGGCACAGGACAGGCACTCAGTAGAGTTCAGCACGGAGTTGGAGTTCTATAGATGAGGTCGTGCACTTGGGGCTCAGTAGATGTGGTAGGAGTTCGGTAGCTGTCATTGCAAAGGGCTCTTCAGGTGCCCAAGTGCCGTAGGGAGGAGGAGGAGGAGGAGGCCGTGTGACTATGGAGGCAGAGACTAGAGTGATGCTGCGGCCACGAGCCCAGGAACACCTGGAGTCACCGGAAGCCAGAGGGGCAAGGAATAGCATCTCCCGCAGAGGCTCTGGAGGGACTGTGGCCCTGCCGACACCTTGATGTCAGGCTTCTGGCCCCAGAGCTGGGAGGGAATAATGTCCGTGGTTTTAAGCCGCCTGGTCTGTGGTCATTTGTCACGGCAGCAGCAGAAAACGAGCACAGCCTTGCATACATGCCTCTGCCCCAGTGGTGAAGGACCTGCGGGGTGGCTGTCATTTCGGGGGAGCCCCCCAACTCCCCATCCTGGTAAGACCCTCTGGCAGCAGGAAAGTGGACATCCTGTCTCCACGTGCCCCAGCTTTGCCACCAGGAATTGCTTCCCTTGCCTCATCTCGATCCTTCCTGCTGCATGCGGCTCCGTTTCCTCTTGGCGGTGTGCGGGGAGCAGCTGCGAAGGAGCAGACTGGGCACTGAGCCGGCCAGGTCGGGGCACAGGTTGCCTGACGCTACTTCCTAGTTCCGTCTCCGCCGCCCCATGTGGCCCTGCTCCCGGGGGCACGTGTGACCCGCGCTGGTGGCCCCCTGGGGACCCTGGGAAGTGCACATGAATCTCCGCTGGAGGTCGGGAGATGGGCTCACCCAGCAATGCCTGGCCGAGAGGTCAGCCTGCCGCGCCCACCATGCCCACCGCGCCTGCAGCTGCAGGTTTTCTGCAGGTTTTCTCAAGGGTCTGTTTCCCGGTGACGCCACGTCTGCTGAGCAGCCAGGTGAGCTCAGGAACCGCCCAGAACAAACAGCCCCTCCTGCCTCCCTGGGCAGTCAACCTGTCAGGGCTGGAGCCGCTCCTTCCCCTTCCGGCCTGATCTGCCAGGACTGAGGTTCAAGGGGAGGAGCCCGGAGGAGGGCTGGCTTCCTGGCTTCCTTCTCCAGGGACAACGGAGGCCGGGCCATTGTGGGAGTTGTGGCTGGGCCAGGGGAGGGTGTCAGGAAATGGGGGTTCTGCTGCATATTTGCTGGGCCTCCCCGCTCAGTCCTGTGGTGCAGTGACCTGTCCTTTCCCTCCAGCTCAGGGGCCGATGGCGGGGCCCGGGCCAGGAACAGGGGTGTCTCCCTGACCGCCCTCTGAGACGCGCCCATTGTGGGGGGTCAGGAGAGACTCACTCCAGAGGGCCCCCACCCAGAAGCTTGGAGGCAGCCCTGTTCCCTGGGCTGGAGCAGAGGGTGGGGTGGGCCTGGGCGGCGAGGCTGACCTCCCCTCCCACGCCAGCCTCGCGGTTAGCAGGAAGCTGCCTGGGGACAGAGGGCTTCTGTTCTCTGGCCCGAGGGCCTGCTGCCCAGGCCCAGCTGCCGCCTTCCGGTGGAAAGGGGCCGCCAGCCCACCTCCCTGGGGCAGCCCAGGGCCCAGCGCCCCTGTGATGCCCCCCCAGGCCACCCCAGAAGCCCCCGGGCTGACCCCTCCTGGCTGGGCCCTGCTCTGAGGCCGGGGTGGGGGTCAGAGTCTGTTCCAGCCTGCGGAGGCCGGCAGCTGGGCAGCCGAGGCCGAGGCGTCTCATTTGCCCACGAGAAGGTTGGGGCCTTGGGATGCGGCGCCAGCACCTCTTCTCCCTGCCTTGGGCCCCCGGTATCTCCTCATGGCCCGTTCCGCACCCAGCGCCATCCGCCCTTTCCCAAGGGCTTCCTGTGTGTCTGCCGGGGTGTGTCTTTCCTTGGAACCCCTCTCTCTGGACCTGTGGCCTCTCCTGTCTCATCTCTGGGCTTTTCGGTACCATTTCTCCCTTCTTCTGTGTCTCAGCCTTTCTCCGTCGGTCTGTCTGTCTGTCGCCCTCTCCCGCAGGCGGGAGTGACTCCAGATGTGCTGGAGGTGCCTACAGCGCTCCCCCACCCCACCGTCAGCCCCCCTCCAGGCCCAGCGCCCACCCCCCACGGGGCGCATTCTGTTCCAGGAAATAAACAGCATGAGGTCAGCTCTCCAGGAATTTGGAAGGGGGTCCACATTCCCAAGAGCCCCTGAGGAGCTGGGCAGGAGGCTAGCTGCTTCAGTGATCTGAGGTCCATGGTCCTGGTCAGCTGTGGCTGGTGAGGCAGGCAGGAGGCCGTGCCTCAGGCTCTCCCAGCCAGGCCAGGCGCCGGCCGGGGCTGCGCACACGTTGGCACTGAGCAGACAGTGGACGGGTGAACAGTCGCACAATGGACATATAGACCCAATGAGTTCATTCACCCGGCCAAGGTTGATAGGATGAACGAATGCCACAAAGGTCCCCTGGCTCGGCCAGCATTGGATGAATTAATTCATCAACAAGCATTTACAGAGCGCCAGCTGTGTGCCTGGCCCCATGGCGGGTGCCTAGGAGTCGTACCAGAACATACCAGATCTTAAATTACGAGAATTCGACCGAGAAATGATGTGGCTGGGGAGGGTGCCCCAGGCCCCAGCCTGCCTGGTGTGCAGGCTCACAGCTGAGCGAGGGTGAAGCTAGCGCATTATGGTCCAGCAAGGCCCTGAACGAAGCCAGCCGCCTCCCCGCGGGTCAGCCAAAGCTGGGCTATCAGTCTGCTGGGGCTGCGGAACACAGTCCTGCAGCATGGGCGGCTTCGACATCAGAATACGTCGTCTCACGGATCAGTGCAGAATCCAAGACCAGGGGGCCGGCATGGCTGGCTCTGGAGGCAGAGGGAGAGTCGGACCCAGGCCTCTGCCCGTGCCTGTAGACGGCCATCTCCTCCCTGTGTCTTCACGTCGTCCTCCCTCTGTGGGCATCTCAGCATCCAAATCCCCCTTTTATAAGGACACCAGTCATCTTGAATTAGGGCTGCCCTGGTGACTTCATTTTAACTTGATTCTCTCTGAAAAGACCCTGTTTCCAAGTCAGGTCATGTTCTGAGATCCTGGGGTTAGGACTACAACAGATCTTTTGGGGGGCACAATCCAGCCCGTCACCCCAGCAGTCCCCCTGCTGGTGGAAAGTTGGTCCTGTTGGACTTCCTGAGAGGGCCGGGTGGGGTCCCTGCTTGGCGCTCTCTGAAGGGACTTGCAAGGCGGCTGTGACTCTGACTGATTTCCGCCAGTGCCCTGGCCTCCACTCCGAGCTGTGCAGCCCTCGGGCACTAGGGCGATCCCAGCTCAACCGCATGCTGCAGGGGACATGAGCTTGTGCGTTGGCCAGCTGGAGGCAGAGAAGCATCCCCCCGGGGACCTGCAGGGTGCCTCTATGGAGGGGGCCTGGCAGGTGTGCTAGGCAGAGATGGGAAGGGGCGTTCGGGCATAGGGAACAGCGTGTGCAAACGCTTGGAAGCTAGGAAGGGGTATACTAGGAGGAGGCTTGGTCTGGAGGGGTGTGGCAGCCGTGGGACTGACCAAGGTGGTCCAGCCCAGCTGTGGAGGCCTTGAGGGCCTAGGGAAGCAGCTCGGACTTGGTGCTGAGGGGCGGTGGTCCTTGAATTTGAGTGGAGGGCAGTTCTGCAACCTCCAGCCTGCGCCCCTTTGACACTGCTCAGTCGTGGGTGCCCTGATCCCCCTGGAGCTCTGAGATGCTCACTCTGGGTCTGGAGGGTGAGAGGGCCCTGTGGGCACCTGGCCGCCCCCAATCACAGGACAGAGCCGCTGCAGCCCCAGGGTGGACAGAGGCAGCGCGGGGGGGCGGAGGGTCTCTTTCTCCACTTGTTTGGAGACAAAACAGAGCCTGTCATCCTGCCCTCCGGCACTGGGCATCTTGCTGAGGACATGGCCGTTTGGGTCAGTGACCCGGGGCAGGTCTGGAGAAGAGATTCAGCTTTCAAAGGGATGGGGTCGGGGAGGGAGGGGGTCTCCGAGCCCCCAGACGCCAAGGACAGAGGGGCCAGCATGCTGAGAGCCCCCTGGGGCGATGGATGGAGACCGGCCGCTCCATGTGTCTGTGGACATTGGTGGGATCCACCCAGGATGGACGGTGGGTGTGCGGCTGCGCTGACAGGCATCGTCTGGCAAGTGGGCCCCACGCCCGCCCTTCCCGCTCCTTCCGGTCATTTGTCCACCGGAGACAGATCTGTCCCCTGTCTTGTCCTCTGCACAAAAGCACCCTCTGTGCTCACGGGGTGGTCTCAGCATCTGGAACTCGTTACCTGGGAGGTGGTCTGAGCGGAAACGGTGTGGTTTCCCGGAGAGCTGGGCAGGTTGATGAACGGCGGGGCTGGGGGCCAGTGGGGGGCCTCCTGTGGAGGGCAGTGGACCAACCACAGCCCCGTCCTCCCCCCACTCCCCACCGGGTGGTGAGGGCCTGCTGCTGCACCCCACCCCCCGCCTCAGTGTCCTCATCTGTGTAATGGGCCTCCCAGGGTTGTTATGGGGTCAGGGAGGCCGGGTCAGTGCAGGTCAGGGCTGGGGCCAGGCCATCCCAGGCCAGGTGGCCACAGGGTCTCGGCTCCCCTCTCTGTTTGAGACCTGCCCGGCCTTCAGCCAGGGCCCTCGAATTCACCATCAGAGGCTGCAGTGGAACTCAGACGGGGACGCTGAGGCCTGGAGAGGAGAGAGAGCTTGCCCAGGATCAGACAGCACGGCCAGTGTGAGTCGGGACTTGGCTCCCAGCCTCAGCTCTCTCCGGCTGTGCCGAGAGACTTCGGTGAACAATCCAGTTCACCCTGAGGTGGCAAGACTGCCGTTCAGGACCCCACAGACACCTACGAGGACAGACAGATCAGTATTTAACCAGCGCTCCCGGGAGTGTCTGGGGCTGGGCCGGGCCGTGTTGTCTGCTCAGAGGTCCTTGGGGGGTGCGAGGGCCGCAGTGTGCCGCTCTGGGGTGTGCGCGGAGTCCCGGGCCAGCCTGGAGCTGGTGCGCGGCTCCTCCTGACTGCGGAATGGTGGCTGCGCCCTGGCCTCTCCAGGAGGGCCTGCCGTACGGGACCCTGTGGACAGGACCCAGCGCACCCCTGTGATCAAGAGTGTGTGGAGGGTGGGGGCTCTGATCTGCCCCCTTGGGAGGAGGCTGGACACTGGTAGGTGTTAGCACCACTCCCCAAACGGTAGAACCTCTAATGCCTGGATGCTGGGGCCGTGGCCTGGCTTTGGCTCCTCTGTCTTCCTCGCTGTGTGACCTCGAGCAGGTCACAGCCTCTCTGTGCCTCAGTTTCCTGATCCGTGAGAGGCGGGTGTGATAGCGCCTGTGGGTGTAAAGAGCTGAGAGCAGCAGCGCTCGCGGGGGCTGCCGGGTGAATAAAGTGACGAGGGAGGGAGGTGGGGGGAGTGAGGGCTCGGCCTGCCCGGACCACTGGGCTGCTTGGAGCTCCGTCCCACACGGCACGTCGGCTCCGTCCCCTGCCCTGGGAGCCTCATGTCCACTCCGTGGTCTCACCCCCTGGATGTCGGCCTCCCGTGACCGCCAGACCCATGAGCTTTGCAGGGTTTGGAAGCAGCCCACTCTGGGCGGTGCGGGCTGGCACTCTGCCTCCCTGGGCCAGCTTACGGCCACCCCTGAGGGGGCCAGGGGCAGAGTAGGGCTCAGCCCCTGCAGGGTGCGAGAGGCTGCAGCCGCCAGGGCTGACTGTGGCCGTTGGGGTGACCAAGGTGCTGGACAGCATCCCTGTGCCCAGCCCTGCCCTCATCGCGGTTGCTCTGTGACCTCGCTCCTTCACAGCCCCACCCCTGGCCTCAGTTTCCCCATTTGGGCAGGGTGACCTCAGGCCCTTCTGGCCCCTCCTTTCTTGACTCTGAGCTGCTTTGGATACTTGTATCTTTATTTTTCAGAAACTTCGATGCTCTCAGGAAGGAAAACATTTACGAGAACAACAAGCTGGTGAGTCCCCCGTTCCTCCTCCCGGCTGGTCTGCCCTGCGCCCCCAGCCCGTGTGTCCGGGGCCGCCCGCCTTCCCCCGGGCAGCCGCAGGAGTCGCTGCCTCTTTGCAGACGGGCACATGGAGGCGAGAGCTCGCTGCTGAGCTCTGGCCAGTCCCGAGCCGGGGACCCCAGCTCCCGAGAAACAGCCTCTGCTCCTGCAGTGCAGGCCCTCCTGGTCCCCTCTTTCTCTGGGCAGGGAAGGGAAGAGTGGGGCGTGGCCGGACCCTCCCTCCCACCCAAGGGTCCCGAGGCGGCTCTGGGAGGGCAAGGCCCTGCTGGGTCCTGGGATGAGCCAGCAGCCGTTCCCCACCGTGGCCGCCAGGGTCCTGAACACGCTGCCCCCGGCCCTGCTGTTGGCTGCCTGGACTCAGACCCCTCCCCGCGCCGCCAGCCCCGGACGCCATGTGGTCCGTGAGTCCCTCGTCCTGATGGGCTGACGACAGAAAGGCAGACCCACCTCCTCATCCTTCAGTGCTCGCTGCGCCCCTGCTGTGCGGGCCCGGGTCCAGCCGGGGTGCAGCAGCGAGTGGGCCACACGCCCTGGCCCTAGAGCTGGCCCTCCAGTGGGGGGACAGACGGTGAACTCTGTGTGTGGGCGACTTGAATGTAAATTTAACTTAAGAAGGAATAAAATGGGGGCTGGCCTGGTGGCGTAGTGGTTAAGTCCACGTACTCTGCTTCGGTGGCCCGGGGTTCGTGGGTTTGGATCCCGGGCATGGACCTACACACCGCTCATCAAGCCATGCTGAGGTGGCGTCCCACATACAAAATAGAGGAGGATGGGCACAGGTGTTAGCTCAGGGCTGATCTTCCTCACCGAAAAAAAACAAAACAATGTCTAGAAGGAATAAAATGATAAATTCAGTTCCCTGGCCACGCTGGCCACGTTTCAGATGCTCACTAGCCACACGTGGACGTCTCGGACAGAACATGTCCAGTGTCACAGAAAGTTCTGTAGGACTGCACTTCCGACCACAATGTAGCATGTCAGCGGAACGAGTACCAAGGCGACAATGAGAAGGGGGTGTTGGGGCCATGGTGTGCAGTTTCCCTGGGGGTGGAGGGCCTTGTTGGGTAAGACATGAACCTGAGGGAGCCCCATGGGTGTCTGGAGAGAGGGCTGCCTGGTTGGGGGACTGCACAGGCAAAGGCCCTGGGGCTGGAGGGCGCCCAGCTCGTAGGAGAAACAAGGGGGTGTGGCTGGAACAGTGGGGGTGTGGCTGGAAGAGTGGGAGTGTGGCTGGAACAGAGTGGGGGTGTGGCTGGAACAGTAGGAGTGTGGCTGGAACAGTAGGAGTGTGGCTGGAACAGAGTGGGGGTGTGGCTGGAACAGAGTGGGGGTGTGGCTGGAACAGAGCGGGTATGGCTGGAACAGTGGAGGTGTGGCTGGAACAGAGTAGAGATTTGGCTGGAACAGTGGGCGTGTGGCTGGGACAGTGGGAGTATGGCTGGGACAGTGGAGGTGTGGCTGGAACAGAGGAGATGTGGCTGGAACAGAGTGGAGGTGTGGCTGGAACAGTGGGGGTGTGGCTGGAACAGAGGAGATGTGGCTAGAACAGTGGGGGTGTGGTTGGAACAGAGTGGGGGTGTGGCTGGAACAGTCGGTGTGGCTGGAACAGAGGGAGTATGGCTGGGACAGTGGAGGTGTGGCTGGAACAGAGGAGATGTGGCTGGAACAGAGTAGAGGTGTGGCTGGAACAGTGGGGGTGTGGCTGGAACAGAGGAGATGTGGCTGGAACAGAGTGGAGGTGTGGCTGGAACAGAGGGGGTGTGGCTGGAACAGAGGAGATATGGCTGGAACAGTGGGGGTGTGGTTGGAACAGAGTGGGGTTGTGGCTGGGACAGTGGGGGTATGGCTGGAACAGAGTGGGGAAAGACAGAGGCAGGCTAGGGTGTGAGAAGGACTTGGCTTCTCTGAAGTGTGTTGTGCTGGGAGCCGTGGGTTTCACAAGACCTGTACCGAGAGCAGAGCCGGTGGCGAGGGGACGAGGGAGGGGCCGGGGCCGGCGGTGGCAGGGGAAGAAGGAGTCAGATCCTGGATATATTTTGAAGAGGCGTTCGGTTAGGGTTAGTTATGGGCGGGGGCTGCAGGTCTGGGAGGGCCCAGGAGCCCTTCATGGAGGCATGAAGATTGAGGTGTCACATTGGGCCCCCCGCGTGGGGGTGGTAGGCAGTTTAGGGAGAGGCCCGGGATGGAGATGGGGGAGCTGTCAGGTGAGGGGTGGAGTCTGAAGGCAGGAGGCCGGCTGGGCTGGCTGAGGGAGGGGAGGGGTGAGGACGGACACCCCGACACGCACAGGCAGAGTGGGGGGCACAGGAAGGGCAGGCTGAGAGGGAGCAGCGTGGGGGCGGAGGGAGAACTGGAGACCACTGGGCTGGGAGGGCCCGTGTGGTGGGTGGTGTGTGTCCTTGCCCAGGGAGGCCCTGCCTGGGCGTCTGTCTCAGCCTCAGAGTCCCCCCTCCCTCCCCTCCGCTTTGGCTCCCAGGACACAGGCTGCCCTTGTGTCCCTTCTTGGCCCCGAGGAGGGCTCGGCTCCTGGACAAGGCTGCCCCCGACCATACAAGGCTTGGCGTCAGCTGGGGCTGATGGGTTCAGGGGCGCACGGGGTGCTCAAGGGGGTCTCGAGGGTGACATGGGACCAGAGTCCCCAGAACAAATAGCCTGAGACGGGGATGGGTCCCCTTGGGATCTGGGGCACAACGACCTTAGCTGCTGTTTATCAAGAGCCCAAACCTGAGGTGGGACTGGCTCCCCCAGCATCTCCAGTCCTGTGTAGTTGGGATGGGATCCCCATTGTACAGATGGGTAAACTGAGGCCAGGGAGGTCCCGCAGGCTAGCAGAGCTCCAACCTTGAACCCAGCCCTTTCTCCCTCCCGGGGCGAGCTGGTGGCCTGGCTGAGGAGGAGGGGTCTCCCAGCCCACGCCTGCCGACCGCCCCCTCCCCCAGGCCTTCCGCGTGGCCGAGGAGCAGTTGGGCATCCCGGCCCTCCTGGACGCCGAGGACATGGTGGCCCTGAAGGTGCCTGACCGGCTGAGCATCCTGACCTACGTGTCTCAGTACTATAACTACTTCCATGGACGCTCCCCCAGTGAGTCGGGGGTCCGCCACCACGGGGTCTTCTTCCCGCCCTGGGCCTCGGTGTGCCCGTCTCACCCCTGGGCGCTGGTGCCCACAGCTCTGGCCTCGGTGGCTTGGCAGATCCCTTGGGGGCCCCCAGGCCTGGCCCCAGATGCCCGCACTTTGGTCCTGACCTTCGGCCCTGTGGAAACCAGGCTGGCCTGGGAGGGAGGGGCCTCCCGGCAGGGGACCCACGGAAGGGCGGCCGGGGACACTATTCCAGCTGCCTCCCCTCCCCCACATCCTCACCCTGGGGGGCCTTAGAAATCCCCGGAATACTCCGGGCACAGGGCCAGCCCCGCCTTCGTGTTCCCACTTTGTGGAGAAACAGAAAAGTCCCTTTTCGCCAGCCCCAGAGCAGGGCTCTCAGGGCGGAGGGCAGGCGGGGTGAGGCCAGGCCCCTGCTGGGAATGCGCTCGCTGGGGGTGCCCCTCCTCGGCCCCCCAGACCGCAGGAGCCGCCCATCCCACCCCCACCCCGGGCTCCGGGTCCGGCTCCAGGCCCCATGCTGGGCACCGGCACCTCCCGGGGACCCAGAGCAGACCCTTTCAGAGCCAGCGTGCGGGGCCGGGCCGGGACCCCTGACCCTGTGTGTCTCTGCCAGTTGGGGGCATGGCCGGCGTGAAGAGGCCCCCGTCGGGCTCTGATGAGGAACCGTCTGGGAAGAAGGCCCCGACCCAGCCCGCCAGGCCCTCACCCACCCCAGCCTGGGGGCAGCCGCTGTCTCCAGTCCGCACAAACCCCATCGTCCAGCAGAAGGATAGGGGCGCAGAGGGGGCCCCCCTGAAGGCTGTAAGCGCCCAGTCCCCACCCTGCTTCCTGGGTTTCCCACCAGCTCTCACTGAGCGGGGCTCACGGGACTGAGTGTGGCTCCTAAACCGCAGTGCCGGGGTGGGGTGGGGTCCCCCGGGTCCCAGGTGCGGCCTCAGTGGCTGTTTATCAAGAGCCCACCAGGACTGGCTCCCCCAGCTCCTTCAGTCCTGTGTGGTCGGGATATGATCCCCATTGTACAGACGGGTAAACCGAGGCCAGGGAGGTCCCACAGGCCGAGCTCCAACCTTGAACCTAGACCTCTCTGGGCTCCACGCGGGTTTCTTGCTCTGGCTCCTCCGTCCCGGGTGGGCTGGAAAGAATGCTGGGTGTGTCCTCTGCTCCTAGGCCAGCCCTGCACAGTGAGTTAGGGTGTCCACACTTTTCAGGGGTGGAGACCCGGGATGGTTGATAACTTATGGTTGGGCGCCCCCTGCTGTCCCCAGCTGTCACACCAGGCTCCTGGGAGCTGGAGCAAAAGGCGGCCCAGGGACGTGGGGAATTGGATGGGATTTCTGTGCCTTGGGGTGGGAACGGGAGGTGCCGGTCTCTGTCTCCTGGCCCTCGGGACCCCTTAGTGAGGCCCACAGTCCCTCCTTGTGGGCCGTGCTGGAGACCCTGAACTTGGAGTCCAGCTGGCCTGGCGTGAGCCTGGCTGCGCCTCGCGGGCTGCTCCTCGCGGGGGCTTAGTCTCTGGGCTATAAAATGGGATCCCCTCGCCCGCTGATGGGGCAGCCGTCAGGAGGGAGGGCTGGGGCCGACGACGTCTCCGGCCCCTGGGGGTCGCTCAGGAACGTCCGCTGGCACCCCCTCCCAAGGGCCAGGCCTCGGCGGGCAGCTCCGTCAGCAGCATCTGTGGGGTCTGTGGCAAGTACGTGCACCTTGTGCAGCGACACCTGGCTGACGGGAAGCTCTACCATCGGAGCTGCTTCAGGTAGGACTGCGTGCGTGTGTGTGTGTGTGTGTGTGTGTGTGGCGCGTGTGCCCCGACAGACACGGGCACTTTCTGAGGCGTTTGTGCCCCTAATGAAATCCTCGGTGGAGGCTGTGACTCAAAATGATTAATGATCATGAGGAGAAGTGTTTGTTGAATGAATCAGTGACCACACGCGTGGACACGGGAATACGTAAGTGCGTGCTCCTGGGAAAGCGTGAATGAATGAACAGTGGGGAGAACGAGTGGATGGAGCTTCCTCGTGGGCTTCCCTGACCCCTCTGCTCCCAGGTGTCAGCAGTGCTCCAACACGCTGCACTCGGGGACCTACAGGACCACGGGAGAGCCGGGCGTATTCGTCTGCTCCAGCCACCACCCCAAAGCCCCCTCGGCAAGCCCCAAGTTGCCGGGCCTGGCCCCCAGAGAGACAGGGGCCACCCCCGTGGTCTCCAAGCCCCCAAGCACTCCACGGAAGGCCCAGGAGGCCAGTGGGCAGAGAGATGTGGGGCCCAAGGCCAGGCCGCTGGCCTGGGAGCCTGTGGTGGGCAACTCAACTGCCAAAGGTTTCACTCCAGCTGCCGCTGACCGTCCAGCCACCACCTCCTCGCCCGTCCACATGGGGAGCCCAGCTGGGCCCCGGCTCTCGGTGGGCCCGGTGGGAGGCAAAGCCAGCACGCGTGTGACCAACAGCTCCCCGACAGGGTGGTCATCGTCGGCACGGGACACGGTGGCAGTTAGCCCCCGTCCTGCCCCAACCCTGAGTACCCCAGACCCTCGCCCGGCCACACCAGAAGGCCGGGCAGCCCCCCGAGCGGCAGCCCCCCAGACCAAGCTCGGGTCAAGCCCAGCATCCCTGGGCCCAGCGGACTCCCCGGCCTGGACCCTGTCGGCCTCCAGGACGCAGCAGGCCCGGGAGAGGTTCTTCCAGACGCCAGGAGCCGCGCCCGGCACTGGCCCGGCTGGCAGGGCCACGGCTCCCGCGGATACGCCGTCGCCATCTGGGGCTAGCAGCAAGGAGCAGGCGCGGAGCTTCCTCCGGAAGACCTTGCCAGGGCTCGGGGAGGCTGGCGCCCAGGCGCCTGGCAGGTGAGTGGGGGAGGAGGGACGGGGGGCCCGCGCCCACCAGGGGCCCCAGGAGGCCAGAGGGGTCGGGGTGGCTGGGGAGGCTCCGGTTCTGTCCCTGCCTGGCTGTGTGATGGGTGGCCCTTCCCCGACCTCAGTCTCCTCGTCTGGGGAATGGGGAGGATGAGACAGGGGAGCCGAGCGCCTGGTGGCCGCAGGAGAATAACACGGTTATCACTGTACAGCCGCCGTCTGCGCCCTCTCAGGGGTGCGGGGTAGGGATGCTGCTGCCCAGGCCAGTAGGCGGCACACACGTGGTCCTGTCTGAGGACACCCGCGTTACAGATGGGGAAAGAGGCTGTGAGTGGTCCGAAGGTCGGCTCGTCTGACCCGAGTGGGGCTATGAGCCTCCCTTGCCCGTGTCTCAGTGCCTTCTGCACACTGTACATGGAGCAGACCCTGTGACGGGGTGAAGGCGGGTCATGTGTCAGTGTCCTGGGGCTCTGGGACAGGGCACCGCAGACTGGGCTTGAACCAACAGACCATGATTCCCCCACAGCTCTGGAGGCCAGAAGTCCAAGATCCAGGTGTCGCAGGGCCGCACTCCCTCCCAAGGCTCTGGGGGAGGGTCCTTCCTGCCTCTTCCAGCTCCTGGCAGCCCAGGTGTCCCTTGGCTTGTGGCCGCGTCCTCCATCTCTGCCTCCGTCTGCACGCGGCTGCTCCTCTGCGTCTGTCTTCTACTCTTCTGTCTTGTATAAGGATGTTTGTCATTGGATTTAGGGTCCCCCAATCCAGGGTGACCTCGTCTTAACTTGGTTACACCTGAAAAGAGCCTATTTCCAAATAAGGTCATACTCTGAGCTTCTAGGGGGACATGAATTTTGGGGAGACGCCATTCACCCCACTGCAGTCGCCTAACGAGTAAGGAGACTCCACGCCAGGCTGGCTGACAACACTGTGCCCACAGCCTCATGCTGCTCCTCATCTGGGGGGACTCCCAGCTCAGAGCTGCCTGACCCCTGCTGGGTCAGCCACTGGTGCCCAGGGGCTCCTAGGTGGGCACAGGGCCAGGGAGAGCCAGCCCGCCCTGCCACTCCAGCACTGGGGTGTCCCAGGCACCTGGGGGCCGAGGCTGTGGGAGGGCGCATCTGACTGAGAGGGCCCAGCTCCTCCTGGAACCCAGCTGGTCACGCTGGGCCCAGAGCGGGGGGAGAAGCAGGGCGGAGAAATTGGTGCATAGCGGGGCGGGTGGATGGAGGAGCTGCCCTGGCTTGGGGAGGTGCCTGGGGTCCCCGCCCTGGGCCCTGCGGGGTGTCAGCAGCCTTGCCTCCTGCACGCATGTGCCCCCGAGGGGGTGTAGGATGGCTCGCCGACACGCAGCCCGTGTGGAGGCCTCACGCATGTCACTAGGATGGAGTTGGGCAGGCCCAGGCTGGTCTAAGGCTCTGGGCAGGGGCCTCCACGATGAAGTCCCAGGTGCTTCTGGGCAGGTGGGTGGAGGAGGGAGGGACTGGGGGTGCGGCCCCTACCTGCACACCCCATGCATGGTGTGTTTTGGGGGCATTTTAATCTCAGTTGACACTGGAGTTAAACGGGGGTAAAGTCATCCAGAGGTGGATGCCCATGGCCCATCCCTCATCCCTCAGAGGGGCTGTCTGTCCTCCCTCAGGAGAGTGGGCGTTGGGAACCAGCTGCCAAGGGTGGCTGGGGGGCTTTTGGCTGGAGGTCATGGTGAGAGGGGCTCCTGGATCCACCCATGCCTGATGCCCGATTTCTCACCCGTAGGCCCTCCCCAGCCACCTCCCCTGCTCCGAATTCCCATCCCAGAACTGAAGGGCCACAAGCAAGTCCATCTGCCAAGCTGTCACAGTCGGCATCTCCTCAGGCCCGCCCCCCTTTGAAGACTGAGCCGCCAGCCCCCCTGAGTGTGGGCACCACCTCTCAGGCATCCACGCCACCCCAGGCAGGCAGGAAGAGCTCGGCCGTATCCTCAGGGGTTGGCAGGGTGGGTGCTGGCTCCAGCCTGAAGCTGGAGGCCCCACCGGCAAAGGGTGAGAGTCCCCCTAGTGTGGGACAGGGACCCATGGGGTGCAGGAGGTGGCCTGCAGATACAGACAGTCCTTGGGGCTCACCCTGCCACACCCTCACCTGTTTGGGGGCAGGGGAAGTTGATGCCCAGAGAGGGGGAGTAATTCCCCCAGGCACATACAGCATAGGTGGCTGGGCTGGAGGTCCTGTCCCCAACTCCCAGCCAGTGTGCTGGGCTGGCTGCGGGGGTACCTGAGGGTGGGACGGGTGCAGGAAGGTGGGATGGGTGAGGTCCAGCCTTTCCCAGCAGACTCCCCCCTTATCCTATGACCCATCTCCCTGCCCCCACCCAGGCCCGAGGGCCAGCCCCCAGGAAGGCCAGGAGGATGGGCCGACAGGATGGAGGGCCCGCCTGAAGCCCGTGGAGAAGAAAAGCCCCGCTGAGAGGTGCGGGCGGGGTGGGGCTCTGGCGGGGGCTCAGGTGGCCTGCACCTACGCCTGTGCCTATGGGTCTGTGCCCCCAAGCCTGAGCAGGAGCCTGTGTCCCAGGGCCAGCACAGGGCCTGCACACAGTAGGTGCTCAACAGATGCTTGTGGGTGAATGACAGAACACATGGCTAACTGACACAGCCACAGTGGGGATGTGTGCACATCTACTCGTGCATCTCAGCTGTAGTAGCAGAAGCCAGTTCACACCAGCCTGGGTGACAGGACAGCTCACACCAGTCTGAGTGACAGGGCATGGCTCGGCTCACACCGGCCTGAGTGACGGGATGGCTCACATGTGGCTGAGTGACTGGGGACAGCTCACACCGGCCTGAGTGACACAGGAACACATTTCCTCACTCGAGGATGAGGCCACAGGTGCCAGGTTCAGGCAGGCACTTGAGCCCCCCTGGTCACGGAGCACGCTGGTCCAGGGCCAGCTGCACAGAGCGGCCACCCTGTGTGTGTTGACGTCATGTTGCACATGGGCGGGCAGCGGGCTCCTGTGCACACTGGGGTCCTGGGCCTGGGTCAGTGTCCGTGTCCGGTGCGCATCAGCTGTGAGTCCCTGAGTACACGCTCACACCCGTGGAGGTGGGTGCCCCCGGAGGGTCACGGACGGTCAGGTGCTGGGGCCACCCGTCCCTGTCTCCCTTGGCTGACCTCCTGCCTTCCGTCCAGGGGCCTGGAGCTGAAGGAGCCTCGGGTCCCAGGAGAGCCGAAGGCAGGCGATGCCCCCTGGAAAGTGTCTGGGAGCTCTGATGGGGGCATCCGCATCACCCTGACCCCTGTGCGGCCTGACAGGACACTGAGCCCGGCCAGACCCGGGCCTGATCTCTCAGGTAATGCTGGACGGGAAACCAGGGGCCCCAGAAGTCCACCTGAGCCTCCCCAGCCGGGGACCACGGGTCTATGCAGTCGTCTCCTCTGGGGGCTGCTTTGCGCGAGGCTGGGCCCCATGGTGCCACCCTCCTGGGTGTGAGGGGAGGGGCAGTGGTCCTGGGAGGGCAGTGTGTGTGTATAATGTGTGTGTGTGTGTCTACACCAGCCCACAGGGCTCGTTCTCCCCGTGCCAACCAGGGTCACGACTCTGCCCTTGCAGGGTGGACGTGGGCGCAGGGCTGCAAGGGCTGCCCCTTTGTTGGCTGGGGAGGCCTGTGGTGTCCCTGCTGCCTGGCTCAGGGGGGCAGTGGGAGATGGGCACCGGGCCTGCTGGCCTGACACGTGGCTGTCTCCCACTCTTGGGCAGCCGCGTCCCCCTCCCTGTCCCCGCCTCGCCGCAGGAAGCTGGCCGTCCCTGCCAGCCTGGATGTTTCTGACAACTGGCTTCGGCCGGAGCCCTCGGGACAGAAAGCCCCAGCCCAGAGCTGGAAGGAAGAGGAGGAGAATCCCCGTCCTCACAGCAAACCAGGTCAGCCCAGAGATGCCGGCCCCGTTTCCGTTAGGGGAATACCGAGGAGGAGGTGCCTGGTGGGGATTTGGAGGATGAATAGGAGCTCATCCGGCCTAGAATGGAGGGGAGGCGCACCGGGGGGGCCAACAGCCATGCACATACCTGGAGGTGGCCGAGCTCCGTAGATTTGAGGTGGGGCAAGCCTGGAGGACAGCCCCAAGCCCCAGGCCCTTCCCCCAAGTGGGGGTGGGAGGACTGGACAAAGGTCCCCGCTGCCTCCTACCGCCTGAGGTGTAGACACCTGGTGACAACGGAGCGTTTGCTCCTGGTGGCTTGTGGGATGGGGCGGCCAGGGCGCTGGAGGGGTGCCTGGTGCTGCTGACCTGGAGGAGCACAGGGGCTGGGGTGGACATGGGGACTCATGGGGATGGAGCCTGGATCTGTCTGACCTCTTGCCCTTCGGCACCAGTGGGGGCGGTCCAGGGGCCTGCTGGGCAGGGAAGGGAGGCCAGACGGGGGCACAGGGCATCCCAGGAGGTGGGGCTGGGTGGGCCCAGCTGTCAGGGGGTCAGACCCCCTTCCAGGCCACGTCTGGGTCACCTTGGGCCTGGTACCCCGGGTCCAGGAGGCTCGTCCTGCCCCTTCTCCAGGGAGGCCCCCAGGCCCGGCTGGTGTCCCCACTCCACTTGGCAAGGCGGTGACCTCCCCCATCAGGGTGAGTCGGCTGGGGTGGGAGTGGGCGAGGGGCTCAGCCCGTGGGGCGAGGCCCGGTGCCTCCAGTTGCTCTTCACCACCCCTTCGTCCCCAGCTGCACCCTGACTACGTGCCCCCGGAGGAGATCCAGAGGCAGGTGCAGGACATCGAGCGGCAGCTGGACGCCCTGGAGCTCAGGGGCGTGGAACTGGAGAAGCGCCTGCGTGCGGCCGAGGGGGGTGAGCCCGCGCCGGCCCCCCTCAGGCCGGCCCCCACCCTGCCCCACCGCAGGCCGGCCCCCCTCCCTTCCCGAGCGCCCCGGCCTGGCCTCGGCCACCTTAACCCTGGGGACACCCCTGGCCCTGGGCCCTGACCCAGGCTGGCCACCCCGCGAGGGGCCCCGCCAGCCCTGTGCGCAGCCCGGCTCTCTCCACAGACGCCTCGGAGGACGCGCTCATGGTGGACTGGTTCCGGCTCATCCACGAGAAGCAGCTGCTGCTGAGGCTGGAGTCGGAGCTGATGTACAAGTGAGAGGGCAGCCGCAGGGACCCTGGACGGCCACCCCCCCCACCAATGGCCGCCCCCTCCAATGGCCGCCCCCCTCCCGGATGGCCGCCTCTCCCTGATGGCCGCCCTCTTTTGACGTGGGCTGGGCTTGTGCATGGGGAGGCCAGCCAGGCAGGCCGGGCCTCACACCTGCGTCCGGTTGGCAGGGCCAGGGAGCAGCGCCTGGAGGAGCAGCAGCTGGACATCGAGGGGGAGCTGCGCCGGCTGATGGCCAAGCCCGGTGCGTCCCGCCCGCGGGGGAGCCTGGGCCTGGAGAGCTGCTGAGCCCAGGCCGGCCAGGGGTGGGTTGGTGCTCAGCCCCAAGAGGTGGGCACGAGTGCAGGCTTTCCAAGGCTCTCTCCGGCTGGCTGTCTGGTGTGGTGACCCTTTGGAGAGGCTGATGGGTCGTGGCTGTGGACACATTCTGGGGCCCAGGGTCGAGTCTTAGGTCTTCCACTTCCAGGCTGTGTGTCCTTGGCCAAGTCACTCAACCTCTCTGTGCCTGGGTTTCATCCCCTGCACGGTGGGAACGAGCCTAGCTCCCACCTCCTTCAGCTGTCGGGAGGGGGAAGTGAGTTAATACGTGCAGGCTGCGGGTAGTAAGCGCTGATGAGTATGGGCTGTAGGTGTTGACTGGTGTGGCTGAGCGCCCCTGGGTGGGGGCTTGGGTCCTGGCGGTCCCCCCTCTGCCCTCTCCTGTGGAGGTGGGGCCCTGAGCCTCAGTTTCCACATCTCTGCAGTGGGCGGATTTTGTGAGGGCAGGTGAGGTGACCCGGGGAAGGGAGCCACACTCAGTCTCTGAGACGCTGTTCATTCACTCACTCACTCGCTCACTCATTCATTCACTTGCTCACTCATTCATTCATTCACTCATTCACTCAGTCAGGGTTGCCAAGAGCCCACCACAGGCCCTCAAGACTGTCCCTGCCCCCTCCAGTGGAGGAACCTGACCTTTGGGGACTGGGAACACTGTCCCTGAGCAGGTGGGACAGCAGGGTTCCCGCTGATGGCAGGCTGTCCCTGCAGAGGGTCTGAAATCACCCCAGGACCGGCAACGGGAACAGGAGCTGCTGAACCAGTATGTGAACACGGTGAATGACCGCAGCGACATCATCGACTCCCTGGATGAGGACCGGCTCAGGTGAGGGGGGCTCGGGGGAGGGGGAGGGCCCAGGGGAGGGGGTGCTTAGGTGAGGGGGGGCCCAGGTTGAAGGTGGACCCGCGTGAGAGGGGTGGAAACCCAGGCCCCTCTCAGCCAGGCTGAGGCTGGTCACCTCACACCCAGAACCTTCCCCCCACCATCAGCAGGGAGGAGCGACACCCATCGTGGGCGTTCCCCAGGTGGGGCCTGAGGCTGAGGGTAGCCTCGCCCAGGCAACCTGTCTCAGAGGTGGTCCCCCACAGAGCCTCTTGGCACTCCCTATTTCCTAACCCTCAGGGTCAGCACTGGCCGATGGAACTTTCTGCAGTGTTGGAAATGTTCTATAATGTGCACTGTTCACCATGGCAGCCACAGGTCACACGTGGCTATCAGGCACTTGCAGTGTGGCCCGTGCAATGGAGGGATGGAATTTACATTTATTTTTATTTTAAATGCATTTAGCCACGTGTGTCTCCTGGTGCTGTAAGGGCCACCAGCTTCATGACTGTCCCCACAGAGCTTTCCTGTTCTCGTGTCAGGACAAGGGACCTGTCCAGGCCACCGGGGTCAGTGGCCCAGGTCGAGACTCAAACGTGTCAATCTATGAGTTTGAGGAGGCCTTGGCCCAGGTTGTCCCAGGCCCTTCCTGTCCCCATGTCACTATCTCGGGTCATCCCAGGACCCTCCTGTCCCCATGTCCTGATGAGGCTCTGGGTCCGAGAGGCCAAGGATCTGCCCAGGGAGGGAGAGGGGGGTGCCAAGGTGTGGCCTCTTGGCAGGTGAGAGGGCAGGTGACCTGGTGTCAGATGGGCTCAGGGCTCGGGTGAGGCTGACTGGGACAGACCCACGCACCTCCTGCCGAGGGCCTGCTGCCCCTCATGGCCCCCTGTTCCTGTTTCAGAGAGCGGGAGGAGGACGAGGTGCTCCAGAACATGATCCAGAAACTGGGTAACTCTGGGGGTGGGGCCGGCCTGGGGGAGGTCGGGGCTGGCTGGGCTGGGGTGACGCTGGGGCTCCTGTGGACGTGGGTGCCGGGCCCCGTATGGCAGCTTCCGCGCAGAGGCAGGCAGGCTCAGCCTAAGGGGATGAGTTCCCTGTTGCTTGAGGGACCCGGGAAGCAGCTGGTGACCACATGGTCAGAGTGTGGGAGTGAGTTCCCAGTCACTCAGAGGAGCCAAGAAGCAGCTGGTGACCATGTGGTCAGGGCAAGGGGTGCCCAGTCTGGGCAGACGCTGTGAAGGCGGGCGCCTGGGTGGTTCCCACGGGGAGGGCAGGGGGTCTGGGCTGCTGGGGCCTGGCTTCCTGCAGGCTCTGGGGGCCCAGGGAGGGCTCTGCCAGGTGGAAGGGAGGGACTGGGGGCAGTGGCCGAGAGGTGGGTGAGCGGCGTCACAGTGTCCATCGCCCCGCAGACCTCCAGAGAAGCGGCGGGGACCAGAGGAAGAAGCCCCGGTTCCGCTTGTCCAGCATCTGGTCCCCGAAGAGCAGGAGCAAGACCCCCGAGTGAGCCACCTGTCTGGCCTGCAGGACCCTCGCCCGTGGGCCGAGCAGGGCGGGCGCCGAGGGGGTGGGAACGTGGGCAGTGGGGACCCACACGCCCCTCTCTGCGGGGTCCGCGTGGCCTCAATAAAGAAGCTCACCACGTGGCCTGGGCTCCCTCCCGTGCGCTCACGCCTCCTGAGTGGCCCGGCACCTGGCCCGGGGTCTCAGCTGAGGTCCAGTTCTGCACCAGTGTGGACGCGGCTGGCGCCTCGGGCTGCGTGGATGGGCTGGACATGAGCCTCACAGGAGCCGGGGATGTGGTGGGGTCTGTGCAGACTGCACTCAGTTGCTGGCCCCATGAGGGGATCTCTGAAGCTTGAGACCTGTGACCTTGGTCTTTGGGGCAGAGGCTGGCTGGGCCCCGGCATGGAGGAACCCGAGTTCCTGGTGTCCTGCACGGGAGTGGGGGGACCCGGGAAGTGACTTCCCCTTCGGGCCTCTGTCTCCCCGTCTGTGTGAGGGGTGGGCTTGTCGCCCTGTCTTCCTGTGCTATCTCCCGCCACTGTGGGAGCCCATCCTGTGGTCCCGGCAGACCCTTGGCAATGGCAGAACGCCAGTGCTTCCCCCACCTGGTGGCAGGTGGGGTCAAGCCCCTGTGGGTCCCAGCAGGGACGGAGCTGGGAGACCCCAGCTGAGGGCGTTGGGGCCCCACAGAGCTCTCGCTGCATCCTGCTGCCTTCATGGGGTGTTGGAGGGTTTCAGCCGGGCTTCTTGGGACTTAGGGTTGGGGTGTGACATGGGACAGGGAGGGCGGTGCAGAGATGGATTCACAGTTACAGCTGTGCTGCTCGGCTGTGTGGCCTTGGGCTAGGGCACTGCCTCCTCTGAGCCTTTGGTGACTGATGGGCTGTGAGGATCCACAGGGTATGTGGGTGCGTCTGGACCAGCAGTGATGGTAGGGGCGCTCAGAGACCTCCAGCTTGTCCTCCGATCACGGCGAGACCCCCCGTGGAAAGGCTGGAGGGCGGGTGATGAAGGAGACTGGCTGCCCAAGTGGTCACCGGGGCCTGGGCACGCAGCCACTCAGGTAGAGGAAGCAGCTTGGCCTTGTTGCTCGGGCGCTGGGCACTGGGCGGTTCTGAGCAGAGGCCCTGGTTGAGATTCTCCTGTTAGGAGGATGGCCTGGGCTGGGCCTGCCTGACTCTCTAGCTGAGACCCGGCCCCACGCTGTCCTCCCAGATGTGGCCCACTGAGGACCCACGCAGTGTGGCCTCTTCACCACCAGGGGGAGGCAGAGGGCCACTCAGCAAAGTAGCTCCTTTTACTGAAAAGGAAACTGAGGCTCAGAGAGGCAATGCGACCCCACTGACATCACACAGCAAGTAGATGTGGCCCGGGGCCTGGAACCTGGGACCCACCTCCACTGCTTCTGGGGCTGTGCCCTCCACGTGGCCCTGGGAGGTATATATGGGTGGGCTGGGGCATATATGGGATCTTTGAGACGGGGCAGGGAAGGATTCCACAGAGGGTGTGTTGTCCAGCCCCTTACGGCCGTGGGACACTGGGACTGGTCCTGCTGGGAACATGCTCCTCAGAGGCGTCCCCATGGGGCGAGGGAGCTCCCCTCCATCATGGCTGCTCCCTGGGACCCCAGAGGCTGCCCTGGGGTTGCCGAGTAGGCACAGGTTGGTGCCCAGTAAACGGAGCTCCTGCACAGGTCAAGTCCCCCAGGCCCTGAGCCGCCGGCAGGAGGCCTTCCTCCCTGCCAGGGGCCCAGTGTCTGCAGACCCCAGACAACACTGCCATGGCCGGTCACGCACCAGTGTGTCCTTGGGGACACGGGGGTTCCAGGTCCTGCGACGTCCATTCAGCCTGGGGCAGAGCAGGAGGGGCCATGGGGGCCATGGAGTGGCCCCAAGGGTACAGGGGGGCCTGGCCTCACCGCTGCCCTGACTCCAGCTCGGAGGGGACTCAGCCCAGGTCCCACCCCCGGGGGACCCTCCACAACTTGCCAGGAGGCCCAGGGGCCTTCACCCCAGATGAGACAGGGCCCGCAGCCTCCAGAGGACACAGTCACCGAGCGCGGCTGAGCGGACGAGGCTCACGTCGGCAGGGTGGCTCCCGGCTGCGCACTGCTGTCTGCATACACAAGGCGCTCAGTACGTGTCCAGGCTCCTCTCCCCAGAGGTGGCCCGGGAAAGCCAATGTTCCTGTCAGTGGGCGTGGGGGTGGGGGGAGAGCGCGTCTGAGGCGGGGTGTTAGGGGGGCGCTGTTCCTGGGCTGCATCCCCACACCCGCATCCATGCGTCCTCGAAGCCCGGTGGGTCTGGGGCCTGGGGCCTGAACTGAAGGACGTTCAGGGCAGAGGGACCCGTGGGCTGAGGCCTGGCCGTGTAGAAGTTTGGGGGGCACTCGGGGTGGGGAGTGGGCTGGTGTGGCTGTAGCAGGAAAGGGTGGGGGTGGAGAGGTGGCCACCGGGAAGCCCCCACCACACAGGCCCTTCATGAAAACTGTGCAGTCATGGGCTGCACTCTGTCCCTCTGACAACGGGAGAACTGAGTCGCAGAGGAGTGCCCAGGGTCACGTGTTGGGCAGGGGGGGCCTGGAGTTTGGTGTCCTTGGTCTCCCTCTGGGAGGATGCAGGGAGCCTGGACTCCCCCGGCGAGGGCCCTCCCCAAGAGGCTCTGCTGCCCGGCCCTGTTTGGGGGCTCCCCAGAGGATGACCTCGCCCGGCTGGGGCTGGGGTGGGAGCTGCAGTCGCCCCACAAGCGGAATCTCTGTGTGGCCTTGCAAAGCCTCCGCACCCCAGCATCTCGTTTACCGGGAGGAGAGGTCTGCTCAGGTCTCTGCACGGCACCTGCAGGGTCTGAGCTTCCTCCCATCCACCAGTCCCTCCTGGGCCCCCGGCCCCAGGGCCGGCCGTGCCCCTTCAGAGTGGACACTGAAAAGGCACCCAGGGGTCAGGCCGGGGCTGCTCACCCGGCGCACTCTGGAGGGGTCTCTCTGGAGCCCGGGCATCCCCTTCTCTTCCCACTTGGGCTTGTCCTGCCCTGGGAGGGGCCTCCCGCCTGCGTGTAGACGCACGGTGTGCCTAGGCGTGTGCACACCAGTGGGTGGGGGCTCATGAAGCCCCCCAAGGGAGTCTCAGGGCTGTGTGGTCAGGGCATTCTGGGGTCCCGGGGGCCCAGAGCTGTGGGCGGTGGACGTGAGCTCTGTGGTCACGTCCCCTCAGCTCTGCAGACTCCTAACCCCGTGGGAGGGGTGCAGCCAGGGGACAGGGGTCCCGCCCGTCCCCTCCTCCCACCAAGTGTGTGTGCAGACCTTGCCCTCTGCCTCTCACGGGCTGTAACCACCCTCAACCACCCGCGCTTGCCTTGGCTCCCACTCACCCCACCAGCCTGGAGCTCTGACTCCTGGGGCCCTCCAGCCTCCCTCCCCTGCCTCCCAGGGACCCCCCAGCAGAGGCCTTTGTCCAGGGGGCCGTGGCAGGTCCCAAGAGCCTGTCCGTCTGCCAGTTCACCTGGAGGTCCCCTCCTAGCCCTCAGGTCCTGGGTCGGAGTTTCAGATCCTGCACTAACGAGGTCTCCCAGGTGGGCCAGGGACGCTGATGAAGATGGATGGCGTGGGCACCGGCCCATTACGTCGTTAATAAAGAAGCCTGCACACACACCTTAATCTGCAGCCACTGACACTTCACAAAGTACATTAGGATGTAACCCAATTGGAACCGCAGTATCGAGAACATCTTATCTTATCACAAATTGAAATTATATCATATTCCTCTTTTCTTAAATTAAAAAGCTAAAACCTGTTCGTTTGCTCTCGCACGGTTGTGTAAAACTTAATCAGTGGTTTTAACAGCATTATTTTTCCGTGTGGGCCATTTCTATTCTCATTTATTTATGACGGAGAACTTTCTGGAAAGGGCTGATTGGATTTGTAAGTGGAGGCATCAGGCACAGGCCCGGTGCTCGGCGTGGTGGACCAGCCCCCTCTGCACGAGTGGGATGGCTGGGGATGGGATCCAAGGCTCCCCGAGGATGGGGAACAGTTTTTGAGTCCATGTTGATGCCGTGAGTGTTGAGAACGGACGGAAAATACAGGAGGTGGTTGCACAGCGGTGGACGAGCTGACAAGCCAGCCAGGGCGCGGGAGGCAGAGCAGAGGCCGACGGTGGGCGGAAGCCCCCTTGGGGCTGGAGGGACAGAGGGCGGCCCCGCTGGGCAAACAGCAGGCGGCCGGGAGTGACCTTGAGGCCAGGCCGGTCTGCTGGGTGGCCTGGAAGCAAGGCTTCCTCCTGAAAGCAGCCCTGAGTTAGGACGCAGCCCTGCGTCAGTCAGAGGGCGATGCCCGGCAGGGACAGTGTCCCCCAGCGCTGAGCTGCCCACGCAGTAGCCACTTCCCACGTGTGGCCGTCGGGCCCCCGCAGCGTGCCCAGTCCAAGTCACGCACCATCCATGTAAGAGATACGTGGGGCTTCCAAAATTTAGCCCAAGGAAAGAACGTGACCTCGCTCGTTAGTAATATTTTCTATCGATCGCGTGTTGAAATGGTGATATTTTCGATATATTGGGTTCAATAAAATGTTATTAAAACAAATTTCGCCTCTTTCTTTTTACTCATTTTTTACTCAGCTACTAGAAAATTCAAAATTACAGGCACAGCCCTCCCGATTGTGGCTCGCACTCTATTTCCGTGGACGGAGCGGCTCCGACACATTTCGGTGGCCGTCGCCGTCCTGTTGACCGTGTCGGGACTGTCCTCTTGTGCCAGTTCTCCGGCCCTGGGCACCACCTTCAGCTCCGCTCTGTCCACTCTCTGTCCGCTTTCTTTCAAATATTTCCTGAGTCTGAGCTGTCCTCTCCACCAGCATCCCTGCCCCGGTTCCAGGCCCCACCCTCCCTGAACCCCTAAGTGTGGGAATACCCTCTGGGGTCTCCCTCACACCGAGACCCCTGTGGGGAGAAACCTTTGCTTGTCACAAGGAGATTTTGTGCCATGGAGGCTGTCCGCAGTCACGTCCTGTTCACTTGGCAAGGGGTCACTGGG